AGAGAAACGCCCAATAAACGAATTGACAATGTTTGCAATAAGCAATAACAGAAAGAAAAAAAACAGGGTAAAAATAATACAAAGCAAATAATATAGTGATTTTCCAAACGTAGCTTAGATGAGACACGAGGCCGAAAGTATGGGACACCCGGTGAGGATCGAACTCATTACTCAGTCGAAATGGTTCTAGCGAGACAAGCTTGCTAAACATTACACCACGTCGAGGTGCCCAAAAAGCAAAATAATATATGCAAGATAAAAGTAGGCAAAGCAACAGTAATGAAGAAAAAAATTCAAAAACTAAGAATAATGTTAACACAAAAAAGGGGATGCAGACAAGCGATCTCAGCAGGACAAAAAAGAACAGGACTAAGTCGGATGAGATCGAAAAGCTGCCTATTTTATTGGTTAGGGAGAAATCCCAGCATGCATCTGTATGTTGTTCCTATAAATTTGGAGAGTGTTTTTACATTTATTCCCATGTCAAGTGGAACTAATACAAAAATAGAACTCTTTTAAGATTGAAGAGAAAGGCATCTGCTGTAGATTGATATAGAAACCTACTAATTGGTTCGAACTTAATAAGCTTTTTTGACCTTTTGCCAGACTTAGCTAAGATTAAAATATTTGAAGAAGAAAAAGAAGCCGAGAAAGATTTTTTAAAAAAAGCTATGATCCTAATGAAATAAAAGAAGATAAAATTTACACATCGTGACAGATATTATATGTGATGTGATTAAATATATATGTTTTTATTTATTCAGTATTATTATTGTTTAGGTCATAAACATTATAACAACACAAATAGCTGTATTGTGGAAAAAGGAATTTTCGACAATATCCGAATTTTTTACGTATTTATGGCTATTTTTTATTATTACGGATAATATTATATATTAATTACTATTTCTTTTAATTAATAACTATTTGCGCTCAGTTGTTGACATTAATAGCTATCTACTGATGTGTTAAAATTTTGGAATAATGCAATAATAAAGATTTAAATTACATCTCTTTGATAGATGTCGCGATGTGTAAAAACAAAATGGCGGAGAGAAAAAATAGTCCGAGAAAACAAACAGACAATAATAATAATAATAATAAAGAAACAGACAATAAAAAAAAAAGCAAAACAAAAAAAAAACAAAACAAATAAATGTAGACAAAACGTTTTAGTGCCAACTGACAATCCAAGGCAGAATAAAGTTAGTAGTGAGTGGAGGTACGACCAGAAACGAAGAAGCCAAGGTTGATTTTCCGAGGAAGAAGCAGGAGGCTCTAGCTCTGTCCCACCTTAATGGGGTCGCAGCCGATTGGAAATCCAAGCACCTGTCAACGCACTTCCGGTCTCTAGTCATCCAAGAAGGCTTTCAGAACATGCTGCTACAAGGAGAGGCGACTGACCCCCGTGGGCCAGATTCTCCCTCCGTCTTCCTGGACTGCATGTCGGGATGTGGCCGATGCAAACGAGGCGGAAACATCCGAACATCTATTAGCAACAGAGACTAATGGAAACATGTTAGGAAAAGGCGAAAAATAAATAAATCATTCTGGAATGAGGTGGAGTGGAATGAAGAGAGTTTACGACATGTCTTCGATTATCCATCGTTTCGTTCAGCGGAACAGTCGTAGAGATGGACAAAACGAGATTTGTTTTGGTTCTTTGCTTTTTTTTTGTTCGTCTCCCGTTTTTCCATCTTTTTTTTTTTTTTTTTTTTTAAAAGAAGATGTTCTCTATGTTTCATTACGAATAACATTTTAATTAAAATATTATATAGCTGTTTGTCTTTCTAGCAATCAAGTAAGCTTCGTCTGAATATCTATCTATCTATCTATCTATCTATCTATCTATCCTAATCTCTTCATTATCTATCTATCCTAATCTCTTCATTATCTATCTATCTATCTATCTATCTATCTATCTATCTATCTATCTATCCTAATCTCTTCATTATCTATCTATCTATCTATCTATCTATCTATCTATCTATCTGTTAGGGTCCAAGCTATGGGTAAATAGTGAACTCCTAGTTTTTCCAGATCTTACCCGCATCCTGGGTATGACTATAAACTACGTTCAACAGCAAGGCCTCAGATAATGGTTTTGAAACAGTGTTGCCAGCTATGTGTTTTTTGAAAAAATGTTGCCAGCTATACGTTGAATAGTACCGTATATTTAATATATATATATATATATGTGTGTGTGTGTGTGTGTATATAACTTAATTTGGCATTAAATGATCTACAGTGGTTGATATGCCATAAAACCCAACCAACCTATATATATATATATATATATATATATGGTAAGAAAAACATAGAAAAAAAGAAAAATAATGGAAAGAAAAAGATAGAAAGAAACAAATTAAGAATGGAAAGAAAGAAAGAAACAAATTAAGAATGGAAAGAAAGAAATGAATAAAGAAAGAATGAAAAAAAGAAAAGAAGAAAGAGAGAATGGAAAAAGAAGAAAGAGACAGAAAGAAAAATGAAAAGAAAGAAAAGAAGAAGGAAAGAAAAATGAAAAGAACGAAAAGAAGAAGGAAAGAAAAATGAAAAGAAAGAAAAGAAGAAGGAAAGAAAATGAAAAAAATGGAAAGAAAGAAAGAAAAAAGCAAAAAATAATAGAAAGAAAAAGATATAAAAAATTAAGAATGCAAAATATATATATATATATATATATATATATATATATATATGGAAAGAAAAAAAAAAAAAATATATATATATATATGTATATGGAAAGAAAAAGAAAGAAAAGATATATATATATATGTATATGGAAAGAAAAAGAAAGAAAAGATATATATATATATATATATATATATATATATATATATATATATATATATATATATATGGGATAACGATATATAATTTTATATAAATTTCTAAATACATCAAGAACAATTTCTGAAAAAAAAAAAGATGTATAATAAACTGGAAAATATTTCTGTGGTGCGTTTCACCCGTTAGGACTTCATAGGGATGGATTTGTGGAAGTGGTTGTGACTACACATGCGTGTGAACGAGAGACGCTGGTAGTTTCAAAATTTTTGAAAGAATTTTTTTTTTTTTTCAAAAATTCCAGAAAGTACCTGACGCCTTCTTTATAATAGTTAGTATTGCTGCCGCGTAGGGACTGCAGCTACTTAACACATCCTTTCCAGCCTCGCTCGAGGTCAAAAGTATTTTCGCGGACTTGTGAGTGATGAATTATTTCAAACCTTACAACCCCTTTCCCACAGCTAGTCTGTTGCTATTTTCATGGCAGGCGTCCCTCTTTCCTTGGTCCCACCAGTGCAGACATTCACATCTAGGACCAGCAATGCTACATGCAATTTGCTTTTCTTCTTTTTTTTTCTTTTTTTTTTTAAGCGTATCACCCCAGTCAAGGCGGGAAGCCACTAGGACGCAAGGGGTTACAGAAAATTTAGAGCAAGATCAGATAGGAGTGATAGAAGAAAGGATGAGGAGAAGGGTAGTGGATAGATGAAGACAACTGGAGATGTCGATTGACATTACATTTGAATAGCTAGAGATTATAGCTCTCAGGGAAACTAGAATAGGGAAGGGAGTTCCTCAGGCGAGAGGTGCGAGACATGAAGCTACTGGAGTAGAAGAGACGGCTACATTTAGGAGTTTCGACAGTGAAGGGGCGCTGGAACTCGTGAAGTCTGGGAACCAGCGAATGCAGCTCCTCGGAGCAATTGCCATGAAAGTATTTGTAAAAAAGACAGAGAGAGGCGACAGCGTGTCTGTGAGAGAGTGACTGTAGACGAGATGCCAGATCAGGGCCAATTATATTGCATATCCGCCTCTGGAGCCTATCAAGAACCCCGAGGCAAACAGAAGGGGCTCCAGACCATATATGGCAGTGGATTTTTCTAGAGTTATAGGGATGTTTTATTTACCGAACACAGTCAGGACATTATGGCCGTGTTCGTAGTTAATAAAAGTGAGTGTTGGCTTTTTCTTTTTCTGTTTTTAAGCCATCCCTATAACCCTAGAAATATACACACAACCCATACGGACAGTTAAAAAGCTAAAATAAAATCATCCTTGAAATTGGCTAAAAGTATAGCCGAAAGCGCTCGGAATTACAGAACATTTGGACAGTTTCTACACACCCTATGTCCAGAAAAGAAAACACAACGCACGAAAAATTAAATAAAAAGCTTAATCGCTGCGACTTGACTATCGTCTTTGAATGGAACACCCCCCCACCACAGACACACACACACACACACATATATATATATATATATATATATATATATATATATATATTAACCCCTCCCTATACTCTACCATGTCTCTTTAACTATCCCTCTCACACCCCCTGTTAAATTACAAAATCTTACACTACCCATCAATTTTTAATCTCATTTTTCGTTTCATTTCGTTGTTGGAAGTGTTACCTGATGATCCGGAGTCCTTTAAAAGGATTTTGGTGAAATAAATTATTGTAAAGGTACCTTAAAGTGGTCTGTTTTTCTTTTAAATTATATATATATATATATATATATATATATATATAAAGAGAGAGAGAGAGGGAGAAAGAGTGTATCTGGTTATATATAGTGACATACAAAGTGAGATAGGAAACTCACCGCGGACCAAAAATGATGCCTGACGCGGATTGTCTCCTCTGCTTCCCCTAAGCTTACGCAAATGACATATATATATATATATATATATATATATATATATATATATATATATATGTATGTATGTGTGTGTGTGTGTAGTCTTACGATGTGTTATATTTATGGGATAAAGTGCTCAATATCAAAGATAGAGCCTGTGTAAATAAAAATGAACATAGAAGTCAACACTTAAAGGCGACAGTCTGTTTCATGCTAGACGCAATCGTCAGGCCACCTAGAGGAGAAATATGGAGTCATACTTTAAATATAGCAGACCTGGCTGGGATTCGAAATCGAAGAGGCGAGTTTCAATTCTTAGCTGCTATCCATTACATCGTCCGGACATCCAAGCTTTCAACACCTGACATTCCCAGGTGCTCACCCATCTAGGTAATGACCAGGCACGATGTTGCTTAACTTCGTTGAACGTACGAGAACTGATGGTCCAACGTTATATGGTCGTAAGCCTGTATGTATGTATGTATATGTGTGAATGTGCGCGTACGTTTGTATGTTTGTTTGTATGTGTGTGTGTACGCGCGTGTGTGAGTGCGTGTGAATGTATATGAGTGTATGTGTGTGCGTGTATGTCTGTGTGCATGTGTATATATTTGTGTGTGAGTGCATGTGAATGTATATGTGTGTGTGCTTGTGTATGCGTGTATATGTGTGTGTATGTGTATATGTGTGTGTGCATGCATGTGTATGTGTGTATGCATGTATGCATGTGTGCGTGTGTATGCATGTGTATGTATGTGTGCGTGTGTGCTTATATATATGTGTATGTGCGTGCGCCCGCGCGTGTATGTATGTGTGTGCGTGTCTATGTGTGTGTATGCATGTGTTCGTGTATATGCGTGTGTGTGTGCATGCATATATATATGTGTGTGTGAGTGTGTGTCTGTGTCTGTGTGCATGTATGTAACTGCGCTCAAAAGACCTCGCCCCGTTGAAAATGATTTCCAAATAGTTGTCTTAGAGTTCTGGGGATGCGTGTTGGGCCGAGGATTTTTCAGCAGCAGCGTCTCCTAGTGTTGGCTTTAAAATGGAAATTTCTTACGGCAAATGAACATAGTAAGAGAAGAAAGGACACTCCGAGAAATATTTCTCTTCTCCTTAAAAACTCCGGGAAGATCAAAAGAATAAAGTAAAGAATTACTTTTTTACATTGGAATTAAAAAAAAAAAAAAAAAAAATAAAAAATAATCATTTTTTTTTTTGGAGACAATTTCTTTTGATTATTTTAAAGAATTTTTTAATTGATTTTTGCGACAGCGAGTCAGTGGAATGATAAAGCCGAAAATGTTTCCTTGTAAGAGCATTTAATTTTTTTTTTTTTTAATTCATTTTCTTGATTTTTTTTATTTGGAAATGAGAAAGAAAGAAATAAACAAGTAAAAAACGTCCGGTATAATCTAATTTAAAAAAAGAAGACGAAAAAAAAAAAACGAAGAAAAAAACTAAGAAATAAACGTCGGACGTGAATGAAAAGAAAAAAAAGTAAAATTAGACGAAGAATCAGAGGGAAATGATTAAATATTAAAGAAAGAGGTAAAAGACAATAGAAAAAGAAAAAAAGAAAAGTGAAGAGAAACTAAAAAGATAAGAGTGAGAGAAGGAAGAAAGATGGGAGAAAAAAGGTAAAGATAAGAAAAGTGAGAGAACGAGAACTAAATAAAGAAAATAAGAATGAGAAAAGACGAAAAAAAAGAAAGAAAGAAAAAGGCGAGAGTGATGGAGGAATGAGAAGGGGTTAAAACCAGAGTAAGAAGTTAGGAGAGAAAAGAAAGAATAAGGAAAGAGAGGCCGAGAAAGAAAGAAAGAAAGAAAGAAAGAAAGAAAGAATGGAACGAAAAAATAGAAAAAAGAATGAAAAATAATGAATGGAAAAAAAGAATGAAAGAAAGAAAGAAAGGAATAAAAGAAATAAAAAATTGAAGAATGGAAAGATAGAAAGGAATAAAAGAAGAAAGAAAAGAAGAAAGAGAAAATGGTAAAAAGGAAGAAAGAGAGAATGGAAAGAAAGAATGGAAAGAAAGAAAAGAAAGAAAGAAAAAAGAAAGAAAGAAAAGAAAGAAAGAAAAAAGAAAGAATGAATAGAAAAAAAGTAAAGGAAAATTAGATAACAGAGAAAACAATTGATAAAAGATAAATACATAGATGGCGAGATCAATGGATAGTTAATAAGAAAAGAAAAAGGCAATAATCACAAGGAAATCAAGTAGGAATCTCTTTTCCAGACAATAAAATGGGACAGGCATTTAAAAAAAAATGGCGTGGGGGAGGAGAGAAAATCACTAATTAATTTTAAGATATTGATTTCAATGCGAATAATTTTTGAAAGTAAAAAATGGAAGTGAATAAAACAATAATAGATAAAAAGGAAAAACAACAAACGATAAATGAACAACGAAATCAAAACGGAAAACCTAAAAATAAAATTCAATTTTTTCCTCCCACTGCATTATACGAAAAAAAAAAGAAAAGAAGAAAGCTACGGATAGTGAGGAGGAGAGAGTTGGGCGGTCAGGGTACTGGCGTAGAGCAATGGTTAACAAGCAAGTCATTCTCTACTCTGCCCACGAGTAGAAAAGATTCGATACTCTGGAGGCGTTACGATATCTAATTCGGTTTGGTGAGGATAATAGAAACAAAAAAAGAACAAAATCCCCCCCCAAAAAACGAAATAATTCGACAAAGAAACAATTTAATTTAATTTCATATCAACCCAACTTGGGTTATATTAATGCCGGAAGGTGTTATTTATTACAGCTGACTCGTAAGATAAATATTGTTCTTTATTTGGTCAAAAGATAAACATTGGTCTAGTTTATAATTGACTCAAAAGTTAATCACTTGTCCAGTGTATATTTCTTTCTATGTGCTGTGTCCTTTCAGGACGTAGGCGATCATGGCTCTCCACCTCCTTCTATCCCTTGCAGCTCTCAACAAGTTCCTTCCCTCTACCACCTCCCCCAGACCACGTTCTGTCATCCACTTGCTTAAGACAGGTATGTCATACATTGTTTTCCCTTGTCTCTCTTTTTCTCTATTCGAACTGTGAGTATCAGATTCTCCAAGCCGTCCTTTCTCATTACGTGTTCCAGAAATTTCAGCTGCATCTCCCTGACGTTAAGTATAAACTTTCTCCTTGATCGCATCCTCTGTAAGACCTCATCGTTGCTCACACGCTCAGTTTATGATATCCTTAGCATCCTTCTGTAGAACCACATCTCCGTCGCTTCATTCTCTGTTGTAAAGAAGGACAGATGTCACGTAACAGCTCAGTATTATTTTCTTTGTTACCAAAGAAATCCTTCTGTCTTGCAATACTCTCCCCAGCTTTTGGAATGTGTCCTTGGCCATCCCAATACATTTACGGAGCTCAGTGTCGGACTTACCGTCCTCTGTCAAGACACTTTCCAGATATTTAAACTTCCGCGTCTGCTCGATTCTAGTGTTCCCGACCTGCAAATCGCATTTCGGGTTCATCCTCTTACTGATGACCATGCATTCTGTTTTCTTGTAGTTTATGCTTAGTCCTTTCTTCTCTCTCTCCGTCGCTACCTTCTGTAGGAGGTCTATTTCTTATCCGTGTCTGCTATCAGTACTGTGTCATCTGCGTATCGTATGTTGTTAAGATTGTGGCCGCCAATGCTAAGTGCTGGTAAGGTTTCCAATTCTCTCAAATTGTTTCGCTGTATCGGTTGAACAGGTCCGGTGAGAAGACGCATCCTTGCCTTATGGCCCTTTATTTATTTCCGGTGTATACTTGGCACCATATTGTTCAGATAACCCTGTAAACAACGATTCCCTTTATGTGCCATGACCCTTCAGGACGTAGGCGATCATGGCTCTCCACTTCCTCCCTATCTCTTGTAGCTTTCAATAAGTTTTGTCCCTTTGCTACTTCCACTAGGCCCTGTTCTGTCATCCACTTGCTTAAGTCCGTTAGGTATGTCATGCGTTGCTTTCACTTGTCTCTCTTTCCCTCTATTCGACCTGTGAGTATCAGATTCTCCAAGGCGTCCTTTCTCATTACGTATTCCAGAAATTTCAGCTGCCTCTTCCTGACGTTAAGTATAAACTTTCTCCTTGCTTACATCCTCTCCAAAACTACATCGTTGCCTACACGTTTGGTCCATGTTATCCTTAGCATCCTTCTGTAGAACCATACCTCAGCCGCCTCAAGCCTCTTCTTCATCTGATAAAGGAGAACAGATGTCACGGATCAGCTCAGTACTCTTTTCTTTTCTTGAGTCAAAACGTAAATGCTGATTGGGTTTATGCTTGACTAAAAAAATAAATATGGATTTGGACTATGCTTGAGTCACAAAGTAAGCAATGATTCGATTTATAGCTGAGTCAAAAGTAAACACTTTTTCGGTTTATGCTTGAGTGAAAAAATTAAAAAAAATGTTCCTGTTTATAGGTGAGTCAAAATGTAAACACTGACTCGGTTCAAACTCATTCAAAATTCATACTCTGGCTTTTCTCTTCAAAGTCTCATCAAGAGAACGGTGAATCAGTTTTAAAAAAGAGGGAACAGTGGTGAGGAAAACCTGATCAGGAGGTCAGAAGAGCATGATGGAGTCATCATTTTCAAGTTAAAGCTAAAGAAATGAATTAGAAAAGATCCAACTTAATTCACAAGAGGAGAGAGGAGTTTCAGCTATGAGAGTCCAAAGAGCAATGAAAAAAGACTTGAAATTGAAATCGTACGTGAAATCTGTGAGATAACTTGTTACTCCAGGACAGAAATTTAGAAGGTTAGAGAGGGCGAAGATTATCTTCAATACGTTGGAAAATAATTCAGGTATATATATATATATATATATATATATATGAACTTTATTTCAATAATTCATGAGCTTCTTATCTTTAAAATTAATTAATGATGAACATGGCATTTCCGTTCATGATCGATTTCATCACGATTCTTCTGTTAATCTCGGTGTGTAATTGTACATTCTTATTGCTCAAAGTAATGTTGTAAAAACCTCGGCGAATTCCAGTAAGATATCTTTAATCATTTCTAAGATAAAACGGTTCAAAGCTTAATCTAACAAATGATAAATGTTGCTTTTACACCATTTGGACAATTTTGTTGTTGCTCTTGATATAATATAGCGAGGATAACCAAAACACAGTGTTTGAAAAGCGTTTAAGACAGTCAAATAGGCAAACTGTACATTGTTGCTATTCGTCTGCCTGTTTATATGCCGTGTCTCGTCAGGACGTAGACAATCATGGCCCTCCACATCTTCCTGTCCCTTCTAGCTCTTAATAAATTTTGACTTTTTGCTATTTCACTCAAACCCTGTTCTACCATGGATTCACTCAAGCCTTTCAAGTATATTATGCACTGATTTTCTCTGTCCCTTTTCCCCCTCAATCTGTCCTGTGAGTTTCAGGTTTTCCAAGCCCTCCTTTCTCATTACACACTTCAGAAATTTTCAGCTGCA